CACTCGATGCAGCAATCTCACTTCTGGGTCTGCAGCCCAAAGGGCCTTGAAGAGATCTCTGTGCAGCCTACTCACAGCAGCATCCCCCACAGGACACATGCGCGGGAGGCCTTCCCGGTGTTGTTTGTCCACAAGGCGGGGCCCTGCTCAGCCTTAGGAAGGAAGGAGGGACTGGCACAGGCCCTGGCATGGATGCATCAGGGGACACCGTGTTGGGTGCAACAAGCCGGGCACAAAAGGACACCTGCGTGTGATGCCACTCACAGGAGGCCCCTAGAGCAGTAAGTCCAGAGATACATAGTGGCATGGTGGCTGCCAGGGTGGCGCGGGGGGAGTTTGGGTAGGAAGATGACAAGGGTCTGGAGGTGGCTGTGGTCAGCTCCAGGACACGTCAGCTGCTACCCGAGGCAGCATGGGTGTGGCTGTGCAGTGGCTCATGCGGGAAATCCCAGCCCTCTGAGGCCGAGGCAGAAGCGCTGAGAGCCCAGGAGTTCACGCTTAGCCTGGGCAACAGTGAGACCTCGCCTCTACAAAATAAAAAGTAGTTAAGGTGGTAATTTTTATATTACATGTATTTTACCACAACACAATAGTTGGTGTTTCGGTTTTTTATTTTTTGAGACAGCTTCTTGCTCTGTCACCGAGGCTGGAGTGCAGTGGCATTATTTCAACTCACTGCAACCTCTGCCTCTAAGGTTCAAGTGATTCTCCCTCCTCAGCCTCCTGAGTAGCTGGGACCACAGGTGTGTGCCATCATGCTTGGCTAAAATTTAATTTTAAAAAAATTATTCTGTAGAGACAGTCTCCCTGTGTTGCCCAGGCTGGTCTTAAATTCCTGGGCTCAAGCAATACTCCCACCTTAGCCTCCCCAAGTGCTGAGATTACAGGTGTGAGCCACTGTGCCTGGCTGACAGAATATTTTTTCAAGTGGGCTAAGTATTTGATGAATGACATCACAAGGAATGGCTGTCCCCTCACTCAGGACTGGCCTGGGGATGTGCAGTTGGACTCCCCTCTCCAGCTGCTGCCGCCTCCCTGGGCCGATTGCATTTACTCTCCAGGCTGAAGGTGGCAGAGGGGCCCCGTGGCTGGAGGGTCCAGCGCTAAGACGCAGAGCAGAGAGCTGCGCAGCTGGGCTGTGGGTGCCACGCACCGAGAGCCTCACTTCTCCTAATTAACGGGAGGCCAAGGGACACACCTGGTGCTTTTTTTTTGCACAAACAGCCATGTGAAAACCTTCTGCCTTCAAGTGCAGTCTGGCAGCCCCACTGTGCTGCGTGGGAGGCCGCCCAGGCCCAGCCCTGATCCTGAGGGCATGCAGCCCTGCCTGTCCTCTGGGCCTCGGGCGCCCTTCTCTGTTCCTAGCGTCTACATCGGTCTGGGTAGGGGCATTGCCTATAGAAGGTGCTGGAGGAGCGGGTGGCTCGGTGGCTGCATGCACTGGCCGTGGTCTGCCCGTGCCCGCAGGTGTCAGCAGTGTGGACAAGGCCAGGGGACTGCTGCTGCTGGGGACATTGCCCAGGGGACCCCAGGGGGCGGGCAGCACCAGCACACAGCAGTGTCCTCATGGAGCTCAGGCCATGGGCCTGCCTTGTAAGGGTGTGCGGGTCTCAGTTGGCCGGCAGTCCCAGGGCCTGCCCAGGTCATCTGGTCCTCCAGGCCTGGACGGCAGAGGGAAAGGGAGGTCACGTTTTAACCCCAGGGAATGTAGGTCACTCAAAGGGTTTGCACCAAGACCTTTGTAGAATCCTCTGCAAAACTCTGAGGAACTCAAGGCTTTAGCACCAAGAGGAAAAACCATCCCAAGTAGAAAGGCCCGGAGCGACAGAGCTGCGTAGCAGCACTGGGGACCAATCGGGGCCTGTTCTCAGGAGTATGCAGCCAGTCCTCAGGCCCAGTGCCCATCCCGGACCATCCTTGCCCATCCACACCACAGGCTGGGAGTAAGCTCCAGGCTCCCAGGCAGGAGCCGCCTCCCTCCAGCGAGGCTGGGCCAGTGTGGTGCTGGGAAGGGGCTGGGCTGCCCCCTGGTGGACGCGCCGAGTGCCCTGCAGCCATGAGCCCAGGAAGGAGGGAGCCGTCCCTCGCCCGGTCCTCTCTCAGCCCAGGTCAATGGTGACCAGCAGGCTGCATGTCCCCAAGTTGGTGCCTGGGTGGCAGCCAGGGGACCCGTGGGACAGAACAGCTTTTGGGGACAGGGCTGTGCTGGGAGTAGGGGTGGTCCTCTGGAAGAACAGGAGCTGCTTCTTGCCTGGCCCTGCCCACCCCAGGCCGGAGGGGACAGCCTGTCCGGCAGCAGGTGGCACTTGAGTCCCTGGGCCATGACACGGGCCCTGACCAGGTCCTCCCGAATCCCAGGGAAGGTGAGGGTTTGGTGAGTGGCCGGGGGCTCCCAGGGTTGCGCGTCCACTCCCTTGTGGCTTAGCTTCCTCACCTACCCTCTACACAGACTGGCCAATGCACTGAAAGGCAGAGGGCAGAACCTGGCATCCAGGAAGTGAAACCACATACCCAAGCCTAAGCTCCAGAGCTATGCACCAGAGCTGGCCCCAGCCTCACCCCAGCCCTGCAAGGTGAGGCCCTGCTCAGCCTTAGGAAGGGAGAAGAGAATCCTGCCCAGAGACTCCCATGGTCATCTCTCCCACTGCCACTCTGGAGAGTGAAGGCAAGGGAGTCGTGGCTGTCCCGGCATGATGTGAAGCCTGGTCCTGCAGGACAAACACATCCCTGGGAGAGAAGAGGTGGAGCCTTGGTGAGGCTACAGCACCTCCTGCCTGTGGCTCAGCAGCACCGGCCCAGGCCAGCAGGGGCAGCAGCGATGCTAGTGTGGACTCCCACGGCCCAGCAAGGACGCTCCCGGAGTGGGCATGGGCGGCACTTTTACCCAAGCAGAATGGTCTGTTTCAAGAGCAGGGAGGATGGACATGCATGGGGAGGGGGAGCCTGACCACCCCTCCAGGGCCCCACATCTGGCCAGCTCTGAGGCCCTGCTGAGGGGCAGCTACACCAGCCACAGGCTCCCACCCCCACCCCCATCTCCTCCATCCCATGAGACCTCATGCCAACTGCCAACCCATCACGTCTCAACTCCCAGCACCCTCTTCCTTGCCCGCTTTGCCCAATGGGAGCTGGACCCTGTAAACATTTCTCCTTTGCCAGCAAGCGCAATGCCAGGCTTTGTCAAAGAGAACCAGGTGAGACTGTGGGAGGCAGTGTGTCTACTTTTAACTCCTATGGCCGGGGCCAGTGGCCTGCAGAAAACCCCCCAGTGTCTGGTCTCTGGCAAGGGCCTCCCGTGCCTCAGGGGGAGTTTCCTGAGAAGCAGCTCTGGCCCCTGGAACCCTAGAAAACTCTTCTCCCACCTGGGCTGGCAGCCACACCCTCTGTTGAGGTCTGAGTCTCAGAAGGGTGCTGGGTTCCTCCCGTTCCAGGGACCATTCTCTCCAATGTTCACATGGGAATCTTGGCAAGGATGGGAATTCAGCTGACATTGTAATTCTGCGACCCGCACCATCGAATGCTGCATTTCTCATCAATGGCAGCCCGGAGGCCCGAAGGACCCAGGGAGTCCTCTTCAAGGCCCTGGCTGCCCTGATTCTCTGGCTGTGGCGCTGAGTTTGGTCACGCTGACTTGCACGTGTGGTTCCTTCCTGTTAGTGCTGCTGGACGGTCGGGGAGCTCAGGCCTACAGCCCAGCCCAGGCAACAACTGTAGCCCCCACAGGCCCCATAGCTGAGGGGCTGTCAGCGGGACCCCTCCTGACTCTGCGATGTTGCTATTCCTTCTCTTGCCCCTTTTGGTAGCTAGCTGCCTTGTCCTTGTTAGTGACTCTTTCATTAAATTTTCCCCATTGGAGTGATAGGTGTGGTTTCTTTTATTTATTTATTTATTTTGAGACGGAGTCTCACTGTGTCACCAGGCTGGAGTACAATGGTGCGATCTCGGCTCACTGCAACCGCTGCCTCCTGGGTTCAAGTGATTCTCCTGCCTCAGCCTCCTGAGCAGCTGGGATTACAGGTGCCCACCACCATGCCTGGCTAATTTCTGTACTTTTAGTAGAGACGGGGTTTCACCATGTTGGCGAGGCTGTCCTCGAACTCCTGACCTCAGGTGATCTGCCCACCTCAGCCTCCTGAAGTGCTGGGATGACAGGTGTGACCTGCTGTGCCCAGCGATGGGTGTGGTTTATGTCTCCTGATTGCGTCCTGAACCAGGTCCCACCATTCACTCAACACAGGCCAAAGCCCAGGCGCCAGCCTCGACTCTTCTCTTGCCCCTGCTTACACATCCAACCTGTCCACAAGTCCGGCACTTTCTCCTCCAACCCTCCTGAATTTGCTCTCTGCATGCGCGGGGCCACCGACCCTCTCCCCAGAGAACAATCCTAGTCCCTGCCTTGTAGGGTCTGTCGCAGACCAGAATGTGCCACCCCAAAATCTGCCTCTTTGGCATCAGCACTATTTTGAGCTGATTATTTTGAGAAACTGCAGACACAGGGGAAGCTCTGAAAACAGAGTACAAGTTTCCCTTGTGTAAGAAAAATTTGCATCCAAAAGGAAACTCCACGTGTAAGGGTGTCTCCTTTTCCTACGAGGAGGAGAAAGGCCCAGATCATTGAGGCGTGACAGCTCCTATCGGTGGGGAAGGCCCCACCTCAGCCACACCACAAGACTTAACCCCATGAATGGCCCCCAAAACCCTTCTTCCTTTGGTTTGGCTGAAGATGGAGTTTGAACCAAAGGTGAGAGCCACCTGTGAGCTTCCCCCACTTCGCCAGGTACCTCCTGAGCATACACGAGGTACACAGATGAATCCACTCCTGTTTGTTTTTCTCTGTGAGGGGAGAGGGAAACTTCTCTTCCCACACAAGGTGATAAGGGATGAGCAGGGCCTGGCACGTGGAGAAGCTGCCAGGGCGAGGCTCCCTACACATCCTACATGCCCTGCCAACTGTGAGGTCTGTACCCTCTGGGCAGTGGGCGCTGTGTGCCCCTGGGTACCTCATAGGTGGAGCCGTCGGCGCAGCGTAGCACCCCGTGTCCCTGACGCTGGTCCCGGACCCAGTCACCGTCGTACTTGTCACCGTTCCTGGGGGACACATGCACAGAGTCCTCTCAGCATGGGGAGCCAGGTGGCGGCAGTGACTCAGACCAGCTACTCCCACGGGGCTCCGCAGGCACTGCGGGACCGAGGCAAAAATAGGCCTGAGCAGATGGCCCCAAGTGCTCCTGCCTCATCAGGGCCGGCTGGGGGCCGATGACAGGCGCGGGGACACGTCCGCCCACCCCCACCCTAGATGGCAGGCCCACTCGGGACGTACTCAGCTTTTGCCACTCGAAATGGGCAATGACACAGGAGAGGCAGGAGGGGCCTGCAGTCTCCACAGCCAGTGGAGACTGCCTCTGCCTCAGGAATTTTAACACAGCTGAAGACGTCTAGCACTTGCTGGAGGCAGGAGGCTCTGCTGGCGGGAGGGCACCTCCATCCTCATCCAGACCTGGAGAGGCTCCTGTGGTACCACCCTTCCACCTGCCTGATCTTCTCAGGAGGTATTTTAATGGGGCAGGGGGTGATGTTTTCTCTACTAAACACACAATCAGTCAATTTCAGTAAATAGGGGGAAAACTGCAGAATGACACCCAAAACCACAGAATGTAAACAACTTGGCCCTGGAGGGGCTGGGGGCAGACAGGGGCTGGATCAGGCCCGGGGTGTCCTATGGTCAGTCCTGTCTATGTCCCCAGGCCACGTGGCTTCACACCTGCTCTGCATCTGCCATTCACCCGGTAGCGCCTGCAGGACTCATACTCACTTAAAGAGCATCTGCCCCGGCCCGTGCCTCCTGTTGCCATGGAAGGAGCCCTGGTACACCTGTCCATCTCGATCCACCAGAAACCCGAGTCCTGGAGAAGGGACCAAGAGACACACTTGGCTTCGTGTCCATCTCCATCCACCAGAAACCCGAGTCCTGGAGAAGGACCAAGAGACACACTTGGCTTCGTGTCCATCTCGATCCACCAGAAACCCGAGTCCTGGAGAAGGGACCAAGAGACACACTTGGCTTCGTGTCCATCCCGATCCACCAGAAACCCGAGTCCTGGAGAAGGGACTGAGACACGCTTGGCTTCGTGCCTCCTGTATTGGAGAACGGATCTGCACCCTGCTCCTTGGAGGACGGGCAGGAGGAAGGCAGGGTGTCTAGGAGGCGTAGGACTCAGGGCCCCCCAGGAGCTCAAGGGACCCTCCAGGCCCAGCTACACTTAGGCCCCGGCACGGCTCAGGGAGGCTCTGAACGGGAAGGGCAGATGCGCTTTGGGACGGGCCGGTCAGTCCACAGGGCAGCAAAAGTGGACCTGGGGTCCTGCTCTCAAAGGTGCCGCTGAAGGGGCCCTGCAGACTGCCCCGCGTTTGAGACTGCACGGCCTCTGCATCCTGCTGGGTGGAGATGGGCTCCGTTTGGGCCTGATGTTTGTTTTTACATGAAACCAAGTTCAGTGAGGGTGGGTGGGTGGGTGGGGGGGTGCTTGACCCAAATGAGGAAAAGCTCAAGAGGATGGGGCTTCAGTAAACTGTGGGATTTTCAGGCTTTGGACAATTCAGAAATTTGAGAGTATTTCTGCTTCTTTTGTTTTTTTGTTTTGTTTTTGAGACGGAGTCTCACTCTGTTGCGCAGGCTGGAGTGCAGTGGCACAATTTTGGCTCACTGCAACCCTGCCTCCCAGATTCAAGTGATTCTCCTGCCTCAGCCTCCTGAGTAGCTGGGATTACAGGCCTCTGCTACCATGCCCAGGTCATTTTTGTATTTTTAGTAGAGACAGGGTTTTGCCATTTTGGCCAGGTTCATCTCAAACTCCTGAACTCAAGTGATCCTCCTGACTTGGCCTTCCAAAGTACTGGGATGACATGCCTGGCCTCTGCTTCTTAACATGAGGGAAACGCTGGAAAACAAAGAGGAAGCTCCATCTGGGGTGGGGGTGTTATGCATTTGACTCCTGCTCAGGTGTGGGTGCCTTTTGGCCGGGGGACTGCGGACCACGATGGGCCTGGCTTGGTTGGGTAGAGGGACAGGGCAGAGCGCCCTCCTGGCTTGAGTCTGGCCTCCTGACTTGCTTGGGCCCACAGAGTATGGAGGAAGTAGCCAAGCTGACCAAAACTCCTGGGCAAGGAGCTGGCTTCCCAGGCCTATGAGGACCTCAGGGACCCTCAGGCCTGGTGGAGCTGCTGTGACTGTAGCCATTTAGTGACCCCAGGTGAGATGTGACCAGAAGCCCCTCCCTGTGGGGCCCAGGCTAACCTACTGACCCCAGGCTCAGGAGCAGTTACTAAAGCAGTGGCTGTTTTTACCCCTAAGCCACGGGCATGTGTTCCATGGCAGCAAATAACGGAGATACAGCAAGTGCCACAGGACCCAGTGGGCACACTGGTGTGTGCAGGGCATAAGCCACGGTGAGGTGGGGAGAAGAGGACACGGGCCCCCCCACCTCCTTTCCCACCCTCTGAAGTCAGCCAGGCCTTATCAGAGGTTCTCAAGCCTGAGTGGATGGGAGATTCTGAGCCCCCAGAAATGCCCGCCCCCACAGCACTGGCTCCCGTGGACGCCAGACCTTCCCGCATGCCGTGGGAGACCTCCCCTTCGTAACACCCGCCGGCTTTGTACTCTATGACGCCACGTCCTTGAGGCTCTCCCAGAACAAACTGTCCAGAGAAGGTGTCCCCTGCGTGTGGACGAGAAGAGAGACAAAAGGCTGGGTCAGGGCTGCAGCATCAGTCAGCTCTGACGTCCCTGGCCCACGAGACGCAGGAACCACTTCAGAACGGGCACCCCTGCCTCCATCACAGCACTCTGTCTGGTTCATGAGGGAAAACATGGTAAGCAGGTCTGGCCTCCCCAACAGCTGGGCAGGCAGACAGCCTAGGCACATTCTCTGTGACCATCCATCCGAGGGCTCTGCTCCCCTGTGCCAGCGGGCAAAGGACCCTCTGGTCAGAGTCTGCAGAGGGAGCTTTTTCCCTGGCTCTTTAAAAACTGAAAGCCAGGCCTGAGAGGAAAGAGCTCCACTGGACCGCTCTGCCCTGAGGCTCTGAGGTTCCTGGAGACAGCTCCTGGCCACCCGCACGGGAGTCCCCACAGCGGGTTTCCCACCTAGGGATACAATGGGGCTGAAACAGCTTTAAAGAAAAAAGCAATAGCATAGCTCAGGACTGATACATCTTGACTCCAGAGAAGTGTCTCTGGAGGCCTGAGTTGCTCTCAGTGGTGACCACAGAGCCTCCCTAGAGTCCAAGTAATAGATCCCCAGGGCTTTCCAGCACACAGGCCCTGTCTACACATCACACCTTCTGCATCCAGACTCCAGGGGCTGACTAAGCCCAGCAGGTCATGAGAAAGGAGCAAATGTGCCATCCCAGCTGGCGCTCACCTGACCAGGCCCAGTGCCGGCGGCCTTCTCCTGTGATCTCTCCATCCACAAACGCCCCTTCGTAATAACTGCCATCTTTAAATAACAACTTCCCGTGGCCTGAAAAGAGAAAGCGTCACGGGAAGTCAGTGGTTGGGATGGCTACGAATGGCCTGTGCAGTATCGGGACGTTGCTCAGAGCGAAGAGCTGTGTTTGGCTTCATCACTCATGCTATACATGCATTTAAAAATAAAAAAAGTCCTCAAAACATCCACCGAAACACACCTAAGCAGCCTGCACCTTCAGCCAGAACAAGCAGAGGAATCAAAGTGCAGATGACCAGCCTGAGCAACATGGAGATCCTGTCTCTACAAAACATTTTCAAAATTCGCCAGGTACGATGGTGCGTGTTTGTGGTTCCAGTTGCTCAGGAGGCTGAGGTGGGAGGATCACTTGAGCCAGGAGGTTGAGGTTGCAGTGAGCCATGTGTGGACCACTGCACTCCAGCCTGGGTGACAGGGTGAGACCCCGCCTCAAAAATAAATAAAAGTGCAGGATGAGACCTCATCCCTGAGCCTCCTGAGGGGACACTCCCATCACCCTGCTCCTGTCAACGTGAGGAAAGAAAGAGTCTGGAGAACACAGCGCCACAGAAGAGCACATTCTTTTTTTTTTTTTTTGAGATGGAGTTTCGCTCTTGTTACCCAGGCTGGAGTGCAATGGTGCGATCTCGGCTCACCACAACCTCCGCCTCCTGGGTTCAGGCAATTCTCCTGCCTTAGCCTCCTGAGTAGCTGGGATTACAGGCACGCGCCACTGTGCCCAGCTAAGTTTTTGTATTTTAAGTAGAGACGGGGTTTCACCATGTTGACCAGGATGGTCTCGATCTCTTGACCTCGTGATCCACCCACCTCGGCCTCCCAAAGTGCTGGGATTACAGGCGTGAGCCACCGCACCCGGCAGAAGAGCACATTCTAGAAGGCGGAACATCTCGTCCAGGCCAGGATCTGACAGTAGTCACAGACAGGAGCCTGCATGCCTGCCTAGGTGACAAGAACCTTTCATATCAGACCCTAAAGAAGCATCTGTGTAGCAAAACACTAAAAAACAGTTAAATGTTTTAAAAATATAGAAAATGCTGGCAGATACAGAGAAAAATGCCAGAAGACCAACCCTCCAGTAGAAAACGGCAGAGTGGCTGGGTGCTGTGGCTCACGCCTGTAAACCCAGGATTTTGAGAGGCCAAGGCAGGCGGATCACCTGAGGTTGGGAGTTCAAGACCAGCGTGGCCAACATGGTGAAACCCTTCTGCCTCTACTAAAAAGCTACATAAAAAACTAGCCAGGTGTGGTGGCAGCACCTGTAATCCCAGCTACTGGGGAGGCTGAGGCAGGAGAATTGATTGAACCTAAGAGGCAGAGGCTGCAGTGAGCCAAGATCGAACCACTGCACTCTAGCCTGGGTGACAGTGTGAGACTCTAGCTAAAAGAAAAAAAGAAAACTGGGCAGAGTGGCTGGTTGTGGCGGCTCACGCCTGTAATCCCAGGACTTTGGGAGGTCAAGGTTGGTGGATCACCTGAGGTCAGGTTTGAGACCAGCCTGGCCAAAGTGGTGAAACCCTGTCTCTACCAAAAACAAAATTAGATGGGCCTGGTGGCTCGAGCCTGTAGTCCTAGCTACTCAGGAGGCTGAAGCAGGAGAATCACTTGAACCTGGGAGGCAGAGGTTGCAGTCAGGCAATAAGAGCTAAACTCTGTCTCAAAAAAGAAAGAAAACTAGCAGATTGCAGATACAAAACTGTGTGAGAGGAGCATGGCGACAGGAGGGTCCCCCCAGAAGGGTCATGGGACTTGCCTGGGGTCGGGGGGGTCCAAGTGATATCAACTTTATACTTGCTTTTTTTTGTTTTGTTTTGAGATGGAGTCTCACTCTATCACCCAGGCTGGAGTGCAGTGGCACAATCTCAGTTTACTGCAACCTCTGCCTCCCGTGTTCAAGGGATTCTCCTGCCTCAGTCTGCCAAGTGGCTGGGATTATAGGTGTGCACTACCATATCCAGCTAATTTTTGTATTTTTAATAGGGTTGGTGCTTCACCATGTTGGCCAGGCTGTTCTGGAACTCCTGACCTCAAGCTATCCACCCACCTTGGTCTCCCACAGTGTTGGGATTACAGGCGTGAGCCACTGTGCCTAGCCCGACTTTACTTTCTTTTTTCTATTACTTGAACTTTCTACAACAGTAGGTTCTCTTTATATCAGAAATAAACCATAAAGTCAGTTTTCACTCTGGAAAAGACAAGCTCAATCTCCAGGAAGAATTTCTAAGTTGCAGCTTCCTTTGCTAAAGGTGGCCATCTGCGGTGGGGGGGGAGGGTCTCCCAGTATCCTGCTTCCCCTGCTCATCCGGCCTTATCCCCAGCAGCCAGGGAAGCACCAGGGTTCAGTGTGCTTGAAAGCTACAGGAAATGCCACTTGCCCACCCAACCTCCCAGGGAGAAACCAGCTCCATCAGCTTTGGGGTGGCAGTGGCAGGAAGAGACCCCAGAGGCTTCTCACCGTGTTTCTTTCCTCCTTTCCATTCTCCTTCGTATCGAAAGAAGGAATTTGGGTATACATAGACACCGTAACCTGAACATGGAGAAGACACACACAGGTGAGCAGACACTCAGAGGTGAGGGGTGGGCTCCTCACCTCTGAGGGAGGGAGTGCAGCTCTCTTGAGCATTCGAGGGGTTGGTGCCCTTCACCTTCCACTGCCCAGAAACGCCCTGTGGGGTTCATGAGCTCTCCTGTCTACTGTCGGTCCATCCATTTGCTCATGTGTTTATGGGACAAGGATGAGCACCTACTTGGTGCAGAGAAGACAGGCCCAGCGAGAGGAGGGCTGGGTTGAAACAAGTGCAGGCCCTTGAGAGAGCAGAGGTGCTCAGGAGGGGGAGGTGGGGAGCCTTGTTGCAGAGGGGATGAGTGAGCCAGGGGAAGGCACAGGAGCAGAGTCAGTGAGGGCACACAGGGGAGGAGCAGGCCCTTCCATTCCCTGCTGTGACCCTTCAGGGGCCTCCTATCCTTAGGGGACAAAATCCACACTCATACCCAAGGAGGACCTGGCCAGCTTCATCTCTTTCCACTCAGTTGCTGAGTGTGCCAGCCAACTCCCGCAGTTCCTGGAAGGGGCAAGGCTCCCTCCCCACCAGCTTCCCAGGCACATTTTGGGGGCAGGGTTTATGGGAAAATGTCGGGGGGGAGGGCAGGGGGTTCCCACAGGCTCCTGTATATGCCGAAATCAGGAAGGTTCTACCTGAAGATACTAGGGTGAGCTCTGAGTTCATTTCAGACCCGTTTATTTGATTCTAGGAACAGTTCCTATCAAAAACTACTTTTTTTTTTTTTGAGACGGAGTCTTGCTCTGCCACCCAGGCTGGTGTGCAGTGGCTCGATTTCAGCTCACTGCAACCTTCGCCTCCTGGGTTCAAGCTATTTTCCGGCCTCAGCCTCCCGAGTAGCTCGAACTACAAGCGCCACCACGCCTGGCTAATTTTTGTATTTTTAGTAGAGACAGGGTTTCGCCATGTTGGCCAGGCTGGTCTCAAACTTCTGACTTCAGGTGATCCAAAGTGCCAGGAGTACAGCCAAAAACTGCTTTTGAAATGCATCCTCGAGTTTCTAGACAGCACCGGCCAGGAAGGAAGGAGGCTTGGTGCTGGTCCTGCGCCTGCCCTCTCCCCGCGTCCTGGGATTAGGGATTCTCATGGCAACACCGGGCCCGGTTGGCTGCGAGGCTGCAGCCCGAACCCGGCCTTCCCTGCTAGGAGCCCGCGGGGGGCGACCGCCTGCAGGGCTGGACCCGCTGCAGAAGGAGGGCTCGGGGAAGGGTGAGAGCCGGACCCGGGTAGGCGCCAGGTGAGTTCTGGATGGGAGTGGGGAACGCGGGGGTGGCCCCGGCTCCGCCGCTGCACTTGGACCTCCGTTTTCCGAAGTGAGCACTTGGGGGTCGAGGGCGTAGAGCGATCGCACCCCGAACGGAGCCCAGGACAGCGACCCGCCCTGTAGCCCGCAGTTGTTACCGTCCCGGGGCGGCCGCCTTGGCGGGTCCCTGCGCGGCCCGTGGGAACTCTGGGTGCCCTCGCCGGCTGCCGCCATCTTGCTGCCGGGGTTTCCTTAACGACCAGCAACGCACGCTTCCATTGGTCTTTGTCGCAAGGGGGTGTGGCCACGGGCCGAGTCCCTGGGCTCGCGCAATCTCTGGAGTGAAGCTAGCGGGACCCGGAGCCAGAGGACGCAGCTGTGCCTGTGCACGCGGTGCGTTTCCGCCGCTGTTGCGTCTTCCGCCGAGAGGCACGCCCGCCAACGGCTTGCGCCTCTGCGCCGGAAGCGGAAATGGTTGGAGCCTTCGGCCCCGCCCCCGCGCCATCTTGGGGGCCCTGGAGGCGGTGCCGTGCAGGACGGAGCGGAAGTGCTCGCTGCAGCTTCCCGGAGCCCGAGTGCAGCGCCGGCGGCCGCCCCTGCCCCGCCGTCCTCCTTCCCGCGGCCGTGAGGGAGACCGCGGCTCGGCCGCAGCGGAGCTGCGAGGTGCCGGGAAGGGCTGCGTGGCGCGGGAACGGCCGGGCAGCGCCGCCTCCTCTCTTTCCGGGCTGTCAAGGCCGCGGGCGGGCGGGGCCGCGCTGAGGCCCGGGCGGGGAGGGCCGTCGGGGCCCGAGTGGCCGCGGGGAGCCTGTCCCCGACCCGCGGCCCTGGGGGGTATGGGTCGCGCCTCGGGGCGGGCCCGGGAAGAGGGGCCTGGGGGGTGGCGGCGGAGAGGGGTCCGGAGGTGCAGGCCGAGTCCTCGGGTCTGCGAGGGGTGGGGTGGCGGGAGAGGGGCCAGGCGGGGATTGCTGCCCTCCCCACCCGGGCCGGGTCTCGTCCGATTCTCCTGCCGGGCATCTGGGCAAGCGGACAGTTGCCGATCCGCAGCTGTCTGCGTTGGGCTGGATTCGAGTGCGGATGTGCCCCCTCCCCATCCGGCGTCCAGGTCAGAGCAAATCTTGTAGGACTTAGTGTTAAGCCCTGGGGCGAAGGCGTCCCTGACGGGCTGAAGGGAAACTGGCCACATCGGTTTCGATTGTGTTCGAAATAGGCAATAAAGTCATAAATGCTCTCGGCTGACTTCGTACTGGTGTGTGGTCCCACTGATAAGTCACCGTGCGTCCCTGCCAGGCGTCCCTCCGCGCAGAAGCCTGCTTTCAGCCTCAGTACCTTCAGGGGGCTTTTCCCGCTTTCTCCTTATGAAGCGTAAGGACTGGCTGGTAGTCTCGGAAGCACTTTATTCTTCGTTGGGTTGACGTTTCCTAGTAAGATGCAGTTATCCCCTAAGTAGATGAAGGGTCCTCAGTAATTCAGACTCTCACTTGGCTTCTGCCCTGTGCCCGAGGTGACCGCGGTTACAGTGTGTCAGAGCCAGGTGCAGATGTGAGATGGTGAGGCGCAGAGGAGAGAGGAGCCCAGGCTGGAATGTGGCCTTGGGAAGAAGGAAGAGACAGGGTATGGGAGGGCATTTCAGAGGACGGAACACCAGAGGTGTAAAGCCTGGTGCAGAAGGCGGGGACTTTCCTCGTCCTGGGGAATTGGGATGGGGACGTGAAGTGAAAGGTTCAGGAGGCAGAGTTCAGTGCCCCGTGGACCAGGCAGAGGGCTTCATCCATTCCTCGCAGCGCTTCCTGTCTTAGTGAAGGACCACACATGTGGATGAATGTGGCAAGCCGTGGAACAAGGCACATGGAGAGCTTTACACTTTCCGGCATGTCCTCATGATCTCTCCTTGACCTCGTTTTATCTGCCTCTGTTTTGTGACTGGGCCTAAAGTAGTCATCTTCAACAGGTAACTGAGGGGCCGCCTACTATGTGATGGACTTCTAGGTGGTAGGGCCCAGCCTAGAACCAGATGAGGGACCCCTCAAGGAGCTTCATTCTAGCAGAAAATTGAGAAACCAGAAAGGTGTCAGAAAACAATTGTACACAAAATAAAAATGCAGGTGATGGGCCAGGCACGGTGCTCACACCTGTAATCCCAGCACTTTGGGAGGCCGAGGCGGGTGGATCATGAGGTCAGGAGTTGGAGACCAGCCTGGCGAAGATGCTGAAACCCCCTCTCTACTGAAAACACAATATTAGCTCGGTGTGGTGGCAGGCGCCTGTAATCCCAACTACTTGGGAGGCTGAGGCAGGAGAATCACTTGAACCCAGCAGGTGGAGGTTGCAGTGAGCTGAGATTGCACCATGGCCCTCTAGCCTGGGTGACAGAGCAAGACTCTATCTTAAGAATAAATAAATAAAAAACGGTGATGTTATGTAAGGGACTGGGGTCAGTGTGGGCGGTCATGGAGGCTTCTGAAAGGGAGGTGGCCTTCAAACAGCAGAGAAGAGGACTGCAGGGGAGCAGCTGCTGTGAGGGCTGGCCCTGATCTGGGAACAGGGCTGGTACTGCCTTGCCTGGCGCTGAGGGTGCTCCACGGGCTGCCCACTGACTCCTTGCGAGAGCCTGGTGGAGAAGGCAGGAGAGGTGCTATTGTCCCATTTCACAGACTGGAGCCTGAGGCATCCTGGAAGAGTGTGTCCAGGTCACACTGGCAGAGCGAGGCAGAGCCGGACTCTGAAAGGCTGTTGAAGTCCAAAGTTCACGTTCCTGCTCCTACCACACTGCCTTGGGCTGTTCAGAGCGCGAGCCGTGTTTGGTGTACGTGTTGTATGTGTCAGACAAGCAGAATTGGCTGATGTGTTTTTAGTAGGTTTTCCACACGTTCAGCTGGAGAGTAAGAGTTCTGAGCTTTGTCTAGAGAACACCTTTACGTGGGAGAGCCAGGAGTTTTCTCTCTAACGTTGCTCCTCACCTCCAGCCAAGTAAAGGTGCTTTAATGGGAAAATTCCGTCAGAGTGAAATAGGCGGAAACTTGCAAGGAGCTATAGGATGAAGAATGTGACTGAAGTCCCTTTCAGATGGCCTGGCTTTGGCCTAAATAGGGTGCCCATTCCAGGTGGTGCACTCTAGTGTAGACCCTATTTAAATGTGGAGTTCTCAGTGGAGAGTAGAGGTGCTCCTGTGTGTCTTCTGTTTACACGGCCAGTCCAAAGGGCCCCTTGGTCTCCTTGGCCTGCCTGGCCTCTGCACAGAAGAGCCAGGAAACGGTCACGGAGCCACATTCTGCATAGCCCTGGCGATATGGAGGGAGCTGCCCGGATCACTTCAGTGCTTCAGTTGTGATGGGAAAGCAGAGGCACTTGGGGAACCAGTCTGGCCACCTGCCCCCTTCCACCCTGAAGGGAAGATGCCCCCAGTGCTCGGTGACTGGAAAAGCGTTGGTTTCAGGAAGGTGCAGGTTCTAGTTCCTGCCCACTGTGACTGTGCTGATGGGCGGGGGCACCTCGTAAGCCTTTGCGAGCCTCAATTTTCTTGTCTAAATGAGAACCGTAAGACTGACTGCAAGGGTTGCTGAAGAATGATGTCTTTGCCTTTGTGTCTGGTGTTTCTTTCTTTTTTTTCCCTTTGTGACAGAGTTTCGCTCTTCTTGCCCAGGCTGGAGTGCAATGGTGAGATCTCAGCTCACCACAACCTCTGCCTCCTGGGTTCAAGTGATTCTCTTGCCTCAGCCTCCTGAGTAGCTGGGATTACAGGCATGTGCCACCATGCCCAGCTAATTTTGTATTTTTAGTAGAGACGGGGTTTCACCATGTTGGCCAGGATGGTCTCGAACTCCTGACCTCAGGTAATCCCTCTGCCTCAGCCTCCCAAAGTGCTGGGATTACAGACTTGAGCCACCATGCCCAGCCAGTGACTGGCCAGTTTCTTAGAGCCTCATTTTACAGATGAGGAAATGGAGGCTGGCTGCTGGCAGAGGGTTTCCTGAAGGCCTCACAGCTGCTTAGCACAAGGGGGACTGTAAGCCAAACTTGAGACCAGAGGCTGTTTCTCCTCACCGCCCTGCCGAGGCAGAGATGGGGGTGGGGGGGATGTGAACTTTGCCCTGGCATCTTCTCTAGCTCAGGAGCCAGCAGGCATCTCATCTTTAAAGTAGGAGTGACAACTGGCAGGCCCTGGGTACTCAGCAACACTTTCCCGAAGAGCGGCAGGTCCTGAAGCCTGCTCGGCTCAGGAGTGACGTGGGGGCATGCTCGGCTGAGCAGCCAGGTGGCAGTCAAGCTTGGCTCAGCCTGCTCAGAAGCAGAACTGTGACGGGACTTTGGACACGTGGCTTCTACTGTTTGTGACCAGGTCCTCCTTTGTGAGATGGGGGTAAGGATGCCCTTCACTTGGGCATCCGGGAATTAAGTGGGTAAACTGTGACCTCTGGCACCTGGCTTCTGAGGTGAATTCCTCATGGCATCACAGCAGTGTGCTGAAATAGGAGCAGATTTGTTACCTCCACTTGCCAGATAAGAAACTGGGACACAGACGGATGGACTAGCTGAGAACTGTAGATAACGTTTTGCTGTGTGTGTGGTGGAGGACCTGGCCCTGAGAGGTCTCCCGCCAGATCAGAGACCCAAGACAGGTGCCTGGGGGTGACCCTGAGGGATCCGCATCCCTGGAGGGAGAATGTACAGTGCCACGTGTCAGGGACCAGCCCAGGGACCCGACAGCAAGGCTGCTCCAGGGGCCAGTGGGGTGGACGGTGCCGCCCATGCTCAGGCGACTGAGGTGCTGGCAGCGGGAATGCAGATGCACCTGTGCTCCTGGGCAAGTCCGCCTCACGCTGCCCTTCCCCTCCACAGAAGCCTGTGCACCTGCTGCTTTTTCCTGAAAGTTGATAGTAAAAGCACAAATGGTGTGGACGCAATGCTGAATATTGAAACCTACCTGACTGTGTTGGTGAACATAGGGCCAAGATTTCACATCCTCGAATGCTTTTTATTTAAACGTCTTGTGTCTTTTTCAGTTACAGAATGTCTGAAGGGGACAGTGTGGGAGAGTCCGTCCATGGGAAGCCTTCGGTGGTGTACAGATTTTTCACGAGACTTGGACAGGTTGGTGGGTTTTTTGGTAGATGAGTTTAAATATTTAAAAAAGAAATTGTGGACTCCCAGCATTTTCCTGAAGGATCTGTTTGCTGGCGTTCTTGATGGAGAAGTGACACCCTCAGGCTGGAGGTGCTCTCTCCACCGTATCGTGCACTGCGGCTTTCTGTAAAGGGCCAGCTGTGGAGAGATCGGGCTCTGGGGCCACATGTGGTCTGTCACATAAATGTTTTCTGTTTCTGTTTTCCTTTTACCAATGTTTAAAAACATAAAACCCAGTCTCGGCTCCCAGGCAGGACAGACGTGGTCAAGGCTGCTGTTCTGCTCTTGCTCTCCCCTCCTGGCCACCCACATCCTCTGGTGCTGGGACCCCCACCCTCTCCCTGTCACCATCCAAGGTGCTGCCCCTGAGGGTGGGAGGCTGTTGTGTGGCCCCGGGGCCTGGGACCACGTGTTTGTGGGCTGTGTGTGCACTGCTTGGTGGGTGAGAGCCTGGAGCTGCCTTTGATTACTGGAGCCTGAAGCTCTGCTCAGGAAAAGCCTGGGTCACCCAACAGTTCCAGCTGCTGAGGCTCTAGCTCAGATAAAAATCTGTCAACTTCGTAATTAAATCACATATGAAAAACAACGATCAGTGAAGTTGGGTGATAGGTATATATGGGCTTACATAATCTTTTTACTTTTGTGAATTTTGAAGTTTTCCAAAAATTAAATTTCAAAATTAAAATTTAAACATCCTGGCTGGGTGAGGTGGCTCATGCCTATAATCCCAACACTTTGAGAGGCCAAGGTAGTTGGATCACAAGGTCAGGAGATCAAGGCCATTCCGGCCAACATGGTGAAACTCCATCTCTACTAAAAATACAAAAAAAATTAGCTGGGTGTGGTGGCACATGCCTGTAGTCCCAACTACTCGGGAGGCTGAGGCAAGAGAACTGCTTGAACCCAGGGGGTGGAGGTTGCAGTGAGGTGAGATCGCACCACTGCACTGCAGCCTGGGTGACAGTGCGAGACTCCATCTCAAAAAAAAACAAACAAACAAAAATTTAAAAGTTCATCCATATGTATGTAAGTATGAAAAGACTAAGGGCTCCCTTGGTTCATCCATAGCTGTCTGGATGCCCACACATGCCAGTGGGGCTGCTGGGGCTCAGGCTGTGGCCAGTGGGCCTGGGGGCGGGGCAAGGCTGGTGCTGGCGGCAGCAGATAAGGGAGCTGACTTGGGATGTGGCGATAAGGGCTGTGCTGTAGGGCGGGGATTTGAGATGCACAGTCGTCTCTGGGGTGAGGTTGGGTCTTCCCCATAGTCATCCCTTTGGGCCAGCACCATGTCACCATCTTCTAGGAGATTGTTGTGTAATAATCTTGCCTAAGAGATGAACCTGCTTCAGGAATTACTGCAAATAAATTTGGATGAATTGTAGTCCCTGCTCTGTGCTGATACATAGACCGATCTCTTGCTATTTTAACTCACTCTACCTAGCTTTTTAAGAATGGAAAACCAGCCATAGCAGAAGGTGCGTTTTGTGGCAGGGTCAGTGCAGAATGTAAGGGCCTGCTTCATGCCTTTGCATTCTTGTCTTTCCAGATTTATCAGTCCTGGCTAGACAAGTCCACACCCTACACGGCTGTGCGATGGGTTGTGACACTGGGCCTGAGCTTCGTCTACATGATTCGAGTTTACCTGCTGCAGGTAAGTGTGGGCTGAAGTGGCGGGATCGGCTCTGTCCGAGTTCCTGGGACGTGGTGCTGAGGGGCATGCTGCTGATCCAGTTTGTCTTGCAGGACGTGGTCTCTAGGAGCCACTTTGAGCTAAGTGCCGAGTGTCAGAATGATCTCAGTGACTGTCTTTAACACATGGTTGTTTATCATTCACCTGGAGTCTGTCCTGTCCCCTCTCCAGGCTTCTCAGTGCACCCATGCAGTCCTGAGCCCAGCCTGGCCCTGCCCTGGGCGTGTCCAGGCCTGGACAGTGAGCCGCTGTTGACCCACTGGCCCTGCTGCATTGTGGTCAGGACAAAATGGCACTCTGCAGCTGCCTCATTCCTCAGTTGAAGGTTCCATACTTTGGGTGTCATGAATTATTTGGCATCAAAAGGATTTATTTAGACTCTCCTGAGTTCTCCCTCATATGAGGCCAAAGAGGACAGTGCAGGTTGGGATGAGTCAAATAAGAGCCAGTGACTGAAGGGGGTTTGAGGGTCTCCTCAGTGTGTTTTCAGACGTCCCTGGGTCAGGCGACATCTCCTCAGACTTCACCTTGGGTGTTCCTTTACTTTCTAGTAAACGTGATTTCTAGGAGCAAGCTTGTAAGATGGGAATTCTTTGCAGATCTTTAGAGGAGGTGATTTAGTCTTTCTATGTGCAGAGTAGGAAGGTTTATAGCCTTGTCCGGGCTCTTTTTCTCTGGGGACTGTGGAAAATACCTCCTTGTTTAAAGCACACACCTTAATTGGCTTTAGTTTAGTTTTTTTTTTTTTTTTTTTTTAAGACAGGGTTTCACCATGTTGGTCAGGCTCGTCTTGAACTCCTGACCTCAGGTGATCTGCCCACCTTGGCCTCCAAAGTGCTTGGATTACAGGCGTGAGCCACTGCGCTCGGCCTTTTTTTTTTTTTTTTAAATTTGAACTCGGTCCATTTTCTGATGGAAAGAATGACCTAGAAAGCTTGAATCAGGGCTTTCAGGAAGGAGCAGGAGGCGGGAAGAGTACAACACCCACAGGTTACTATGTTGTAAACGCAGTTCCTCACGCGTGGTGTGTGGCCCTGCGGCAGGAAGGTGAATACACAGACATCCAGTTAACCCTTATATCTAGCATTTAGCTGTCTGACTTGAAACACTTGTGGGCAGAAAGATTTGTTTGTATGAGAAACTTAAAGCTTTTATATTTTATTTTATTATTTTTTTTGAGATGGGGGTCTCGCTCTGTCACCCAGGCTGGAGTGCAGTGGCGTGATCTTGGCTCACTGCAACCTCCACCTCCCGGGTTCAAGCGATTCTCTTACCTCAGCTTCCTCATCAGCTGGGACCACAGTCGTGTGCTACCACGCCCAGCTAATTTCTGTATTTTTAGTAGAGATGGGGTTTCACCATGTTGGCCAGGCTGGTCTCGAACTCCTGACCTCAGGTGATCCACCCACCTCGGCCTCCCAAAGTGCTGGGATTACAGGTGTGAGCAACCGTGCCTGGCTGAGAAATTGAAGGCTTTTAAAACTGAGAATGCAGTCCTGGCTTCTAATGGGATACACCTCATCATTTTAAAGATGAATTAGTTGCAAGTCAGTGTGCTGCATGTAGGCATCTTGTCAGAATTCTCCCCACTTTGCATCTCTTGAGGAAGGCTTGGCTTAAGCACACTTTTGGAAGCCTCATTCTTGATTTCCTGTGTGGATTTCTTCTGGGCAAAGGTTTAACCCTCCTGGCAGAGTGTTTCTGGCGATGTGGATCGTCTGTTGGAGGAACATCAGCCAGCATGCCTCTCGTCACAGCCGTGGTTCCGCCCTATGTTTCTGATGACCGTGCTCCTAGTTGGGGCTGTGCCCAGCATCCTCAGGTGCCTGGGCCGCCGGAGCCTGTGGTATAACTTGACCATGTGCTTCTTGAGAAAAGCCTCCTTTTCTGCTGTGCTCCTGGTGGGGCGCCTGTGACTTGAGGGGACATGTGGTCTAACTGGACCTTGAAGAGCTTTGCTCATTTGGGCCCTGGCTTGTCCACTTGGTCTCAGGACCCACAGGTATAATCTGAGTTAAATTGTTACCATGGGATTTTACTGTACTTCTTGTCCTTGCTCTAAGTAAATTTTCTGTTTTTAAGGTCAGTTGGAACCAAGCTGGGAGTGAACCGGAGTGCAGCCATGCGTTGGATCAGGCCGACGGGCGTTGGAGCGCACCCCTGACTCTTTCCTTCTCTTTCAGGGGTGGTACATCGTGACCTATGCCTTGGGAATCTACCATCTAAACCTTTTCATAGCTTTTCTTTCTCCCAAAGTGGATCCTTCCTTAATGGAAGACTCAGGTAGGGAGCGGCTGTGCACTGGGCTGTGTGGCAGCTGGTGCTTTCATTTTCTAACGGGATTGTCCAGTGTCCTCTGGAAATACCTGAGGCTCTGCTCTTGGGGTTGAAATGTACATGTTATGTTGGATGATCAGGATATGTTTGTAGAAACACTCTTTAGACCCTCCTGACAGCCACGAAGTGGGTGTCCATTCCCACTTTGCAGATGAGGAAACTGAGGCATATAGGGCTAGGTAACGTGTTCAAGGCCACTGAGCACCGCAGACAGCAGCGGTCTGAGGCGGATGGTTGATGCCAGCACTTGCCCCACCCTAGTCAGTGGCCCCTCAGAATCACTGGAGGAGGCCATGGTGAGGTTACCTTTTCCCCTAGGCAGAGGGTTCCACAGGCAGCTCACTGGCTCACAGAGACCGCTGGGACCCTGATGCCAATGTCAGGTTAGGCCAGGCTTCGGGTGGCCTTCTGTGGTTTCTGAGGAGCCGTGAGCTGCAGTGCTCCTGGTGCTTTGTGCTCCATGCCTGGAGACTCATGCTGCACCTGGGCCTGCCTGGCTAGGTAGGGGCCCCAAGTTCATGGCTGACCGGCCAGCCCCAGGAGAGGAGCAGACACCTGTGCATTCCAGGACGTCGTGGCCACTGTGGGGAGACGCAGCCCCCTACCAGGACCCTCCTTGTGCTGGGGAACCTGCTGTTGGGAGCAGTGTTTTCTCATTGTGGGGCCGGAAGCCTGTGAGTCTTCTGTGTAGAGCATGTGATGGAAAGATTGACGGGAACACAGCTTCTCTCATTTGTTGTTGCTGTTTGGGGGAGACTAGAAAATGAAGAGCCTCTTTTCTGCAGACCTCAGTTTTCCCATCTGTAAATGGGGAGCGGCACCTGACTGGCAGGGAGGTGGGGTGAGAGTGGGCCTGATGCAGCTGCTGGTGGGACAGGCCTGGCCCCGGGTTCCACAGTCAGCGCCGCCCTGTTCTCTGCGCTTGGTTTTGTACCTTTATGTGGTACAACTGATGTGCTGCTGGACATTTACACGTGGTTGAGTTCTTTATGCATTTAAAACATGTGGATGTCTTCTAAAAATTCTGCCAGCATCTTCTAAAAGCAGCAAATGGGTGAATTGATGTGTGACTTGACCACAGACCCCCATTTTTATCTTTGGTTAAAAGATACAAACCTTTGTTTACATATGTGAGGCCTGCTGGTCAAAAGCCTTTAGGAGAACACTTAGAAATGTGACGGAAATAAAAAGAGGAGCATTGTCCCTGATGGTAGCTCTGCCTTGCAGATGACGGTCCTTCGCTACCAACCAAACAGAACGAGGAATTTCGCCCCTTCATTCGAAGGCTTCCAGAGTTTAAATTTTGGTGAGCTAATTCTTCATGGTATTTGAGAAGGAGCATTGTGCCTAGGGGTGGCCAGTGAGACTCTGAGACTCACTGAGTTTTGTTCAAGTCACCCAAAAGATGACTGCTATACTGGGCTGGGCGGGGTACCGGGGAGTCACAGGGGCTCTCTGGGGGAGGCCACTCACTACCACATGCTCTTTGTTTCAAGTCAGCACCAGTGCCCTGGAGGCTGGCAGAAAGGTGGTTGGTTCTGGGATGGAGTGCTGACTGGCTTCTGCGGTCGTGGCCTGGGGAGGGCATGTCTGTGTGGCCAGTCTCTCCCCTCCCTCCTCCCTCTCTCTCCTCCCTCCTTCCTCTCTCCTTCCTCTCTCCCCTCCCTCCCCTCCCTCCTCCCTCCCTCCCCTCCCTCCTCCCTCTCTCCCCTCCCTCCTCCCTCTCTCCCCTCCGTCCTCCCTCTCTCCCATCCCCAGCCTTGTGGCTCCCTGTGGCTGGCAGAGGAGGACTAGCCTTCTGGAGTCATTTTTGAGATGGGCCTGAGCAGAAGTGCCTGTGTCTGGACGGGCAGGCAGAGGTGGGTGGCACAGCCACCAGAATGACGGGAGCTCTGTGACTGCATGCATTTGCTCCATCGCTCATACCCCACCCTGGGGAGGAACCCAGGTCTGTTGGCTCAGTAAACTGAAGGAGCCTGCTGAGCTCTCGGGGTGGAGTGTGGAGCAGAAAGATCAGGGGCTCTGGAAGCCCACAGAAGCTTGGACTAGGAAGGGAGAGCTGAGTCTCTTGAAGGTGATGGCAGCTGCCGGCCGTGTGCTGGGATGGGAGAGAACACTGGTGGCCATGCCACAGTGGCGAGCTGAAGGCCCTGGATGGTCCTCAAGACACAGCCTGGGTTTCTCTCCAGATCGCAGATCCAGCAGCAGGCATGGGGCACGCAGCCTCGGCCCTGATGCTTTATACCTTGTGTAGTTGTAAGAATAGTTGTACCTTTGAAGGGTGTGAGAGAAGGCATCTCTGTGGTTAGGCAGTACATGTATGTGAGCTACATGCGAAGGGTCATGCTGCTGCTGTGCCCAGGGCAGACCCCTCCTGTCCACAGGGAGGCTTCCGTTTGCAGGGTCGGTGCAGCTGCGAGGCTGGAGGCCGCAAGCAGGGGCCCGGTGCTGCTGCAGGTGTGGTGCTAACCTTCTCTCCCCACTTGAAGGCACGCGGCTACCAAGGGAATCCTGGTGGCTATGGTCTGTACTTTCTTCGACGCCTTCAACGTCCCCGTGTTCTGGCCCATCCTGGTGATGTACTTCATCATGCTCTTCTGCATCACCATGAAGAGGCAGATCAAGGTAAAGGAGGTGCTGCGCCTTGCCGGCCGCTGCTCTTCCGTTCCCGAGGCTCAGGGGAGCCGTGCTGGGCTGTGGCGGGTGGTTGCAGTCTGCCTGGTGTGAATGTGGAGCTAAGTGGCAGTCTTGTGTGTAACAAGGACGCTGTTCCGTTCCCCAGCACGGCCTGTGAACGACCCGGGGAGCGCGGCTGTCGGGGCGCGCGGGCTCTTGGTGGAAGCTTGGTGGGAGCTGGATGGGAGAGCCTGGGTGTGTACAGCGTTCCGTGGCTCCTCCTAGGGCACCTAGGGCCCTGCGCCAGCCTGCCCGAGGAGGAGGGCATTAGGGGGAGGCCAGCCAGGACTGCGGACTGTGCCCTGATGGGGTGGCTTTGCCACTGTGGCCTCACTCTGTGCCTGGGGTGTTGGCCACAGAAAGGGCCCTGGGCCGCCCTCCATCGCCCTCTCCCTTCCTCCACGGAAAGCTCACGAAACACCTGGATTGCTGGGGTTTCAGACCTGGGACTCATGGGCTCTGGAAGGTCTTGCTGTGTTGTCGGGGGTGCAAGAAGCCATTGGGATCCTGATTCCACTTGTTGGATGTGTAGAAAAGATGGGGGACCTTTGGGCACTCAGCTGTGGGGACAGTGTGGTTGATGGGAAGCGGCTGTGCAGAAGCTGCATCTGTTCTCTCCACAGCACATGGTTAAGTACCGGTACATCCCATTCACTCACGGCAAGAGGAGGTACAGAGGCAAGGACGACGCCGGCAAGGCCTTCGCCAGCTAGAAGCGGGACTGAGGGCGCCTCACTCGGTGCAGGAACGGTTTTGAGCCATTGTTAACAATGCCTTTTCTTCACATAAAGTAGTTGATTACGAGGGAGTCGAATTTTCTTTTTAAAAAGGAGCTTCAATGATTTGTAGCTGAAATATCAGGTTCTTGAAGAAACTGGCACTTAAACCAAATCGAATGGATTTCTTTTCAGTGACGTTCAGGTATTTCTCATGGATGGAATTCTAGTCAGCTGCAGGCAGGAAGCCAGGTGGGTGGAGCCCACAGGGGCGAGGGCAGGTGGCCGGCCCCCCACAGTGCCGGGTGGGCAGGCAGGAGTGAGGCCTGTGGGGGAGGAACAGCCGCTCCCCGCCAGGCCGCCTTCCCTACCAGCCGGAGGTGGTGCCATGGCTACTCCATGGAGCCTGAGGGACCATCTAGCCTGATTCCTGCGCATTTGAAAGAACTGAACGCTTGAAAGGGGTTGTCATGTCACTGTGGGGTTCTGATGCCAGTTTCCTCGTTTCATCTCACTGGAGATGCTTACAGTTGGCCTCTGTCCTGACGACTCAAAACTTGTTCTTAACTACCATGATTGCTTCTGAGGGCCTGGAATTATAAATATATATATTATATTTTAATTGTTTGAGATTATTTTGACACATTTGATATGTAAAGAGTGTTTCGTTTTTGATTTAAATCTGTCCTCATGCAACCCCCATGAGGGGTGGCGAAGCTGGCAGCAGCGGACTGGCTTTGTGGGTTCAGCCCTCGGCCCTCCCACTGCCGAGGCAGAACCCACTTGCATGTCAGCTCTTTTGATGTGATAGAAGAAATACTCTTAACCATTTACCAAGTGATTTTTCACTCCACTTTATTAAAGATAGCGTGCCCTTTCTTGTGTAGTCTTTATCTAAAACACGACGTCGCTGGACACCAGAAAGCTCGGCTTCTGTTTGGCCTTCCCAAAAGCTGAGTTTTGCCAGCAGCAGAACACCCCTGTGGTGGTCCCGGGCGAGACACGGAGACGCGAGGGAAGGCACTTGAGGGCCCTGGCCGTGCAGGCACCCCACTCTGGGCAGTGTTTCCGTCTTAGAATTCAGACGGTGAATGTTTATTGTCTGCATTCTTTCGCCAGTGTCTACATATCTGACATCAAGCTCAAGAGGCCCGTCCTGCTCATGTGTCCCTGACCCAGGTCAGCAAGTGCTGTGCCCAGCTGGTGCTCTTGGTGCTGTGTTGAGGCACTTGGGGTTCTCAGACTCCAGACAGGAGCGTTTGTCACTTTCCACACTGTTTTCCTAGTAAGTGCTCCTGCCCCAAGATGTGACAGGAAGTCCTGTGCACATGGCCAGAGCACAGTGTGCATCAGAGGACTGGGTGCTGATGGATGGACCCACGGAGGACCGCGCTCTTTCTGTGGGAAGCATGGAGGCATCTGCCCACCCACCTGTAGCCCCAGTGCCTCTCCTGGTGCTCCGCCCAGTCCAGAGGGTCACAACCCCCCCCCCCCGGAAGCTGACGTTGATTAACCTGGGAATACCAGGTCATCCATGTTCCTAAGTTAGCAGGCGAATGTGATGTACGCCCTTGAGGCATTTGAACACCGTGCTTTGTGAACTCTCAAGTTCAATCTTGTTATTAACGTCCCCAAATTTCAGTGGAATTAGTTTATTAAATATGCCAATGGCAAGGTTGTCTCTGGCACAGGTTAAATGCAGTTTTAAAAACCTGGAGCGTCAAAGGGAGGCAGGAAATAGGCTGGGGCTGAGCTGAGGGGCTGAACACAGCAGTGACCCTGGGTCAGCAGGTTGCCTGCCCAGCAGGCCCCCAGGAGAGGGCTCGGGTGCCCCTGGCAGCCCCCCTACCCTGGCCCGCCCAACGACTTGGCATTCGAGTACATGTGGGTCAGGAAGAGCCCTCTCTATTTTCTAGAACTGGAAGCAGCCTTGATGTGTGTTTAAGGTGTGCCAAATGACTCAGACAGGTGCCAATCTTGGTTGGTTTCTCTCTGCCCATGTGGTCATTGAGTCCTGGTGGAGGTGCTCTGCCCAGCTGCCCCGGGGGAGAATCCCACTGCCTCCCACAGGGGCCCTGGGGCTGTTGTTCTGACCACTCTTGGCTGAAGCAAACCACAGCCCCCCGTGCCCCATCCCAACTCAACACATACTCATTCAGTCCACTGCCTTAACACGAGCCTGATGGAACCACCATCTCACAGTATAAATGAATAAATTGTCTTCTGGCTACTTCTGAAGTTCTCAACTGTGTGGTTCGGGGAATGGAGGGAAACAGTGAGATTGCTGAAGTGGCTGAGTCGTGCCTGGCTGGGCTCGGGGAAATGTTCCATTTCTGGGCACCCTGCCAGCGCTGAGAAAGTGCAGTCAGGTGCAGCTTTCTGTTACCTCCCGGGGTGGCTGGGTTAGTGTGTGACATGGCAAAAACCAGAGTGAGAATGTTCTAATTTCTGTGCAAGGTGAATCTTGAGGCTAAACCTTGGCGGTCAGACTCCCGTGGAAGTCATCTGTGTCCAGGCCCACCCAGGTGCAGCTCAGCGGTAGTGCCGAAGGTAGACAAGCTTCTGGGGCAGGAACTTCTCCCGGCAGAGGGGACACTCTGCCTACAGAGAGGAGGAAGGGTCACAGCGGCTGAGACCACCTGCGCTGTGCCCACGCCCATCGGCACCTCTTGTGCCGTCCACGTTCTCTGCCCATGACACGGAATATAAACATGTTCTATTTCCTTCAGCTAATGACCAAGAAAGAGAAAGCCACCCTTTTCCCAGGCCGAGTCCCAGTGGGGGCTGGGGTGGGGCTGGGGGCATGGGCCTCAGCCTTGAGGTTCCCTCCTGCTCCTGCAGCTGACACAGCCCAGGCAGCCTGGTTCCTGGTAAGGTGCTGCCCTCACCCTGCACCTTACCCTGCACCTGTGTCTTGGGTGGGTGTGAGTCAGTGTGCCAGGGTTTCCAAGTGTGGTGAGGACCCTGGGAAGAAAGACGTGCTGGGGTGCATGGGGCAGCCATGGTGCCTTTCAGGGCTGGCTGCTGCCCCAAGCTGCATTCAGCAGAGCCTCAGTATGCTTGAATTTGGAACTTTAACCCCCCAGTGGCCCCACATCTGACCTACCTAGGAGTCTTTAAAAAGATGCCCACCTCCCTACCCTCAAACTGGAGAGTTCAGAGCCAGACTCCCCACTTCTGCTGCAGCCACCCCAGGACCCTGGCAGGCGACCGCCTCACCTTGCTGCTGCACCATGCAGTGATGCACTCCCAGCAGAACAGGTGGCCGCAGGGCGTGGCTGTTGGGTGCCTGCGCTCCTCCAGGCACAGGGTGCACAGGGGGTTTCTGGAAACGACTCTTTCCTCCAGGGAGCCTCTGGGGAAGGTGGGGCACAGTGTCAAGGTGGGTGCGCCTTGCAGGTCCTCGCGAAGTGCCCAGGGCACCCCCAGCCCCAAGTCACTCCCGAGCACACCTGCGGTGAGATAGGGCACGGTGCAGCCTCCATTCCTTCCTGGCTCGCTGCCGCTGCCTGAAGCCATACAGCTGCAGCCCCACAGACAGCGCCAGGTGCAGCAGCGACACCAGCCCCAGTAGCCTGTAACTTGTGCGGGCTCTCTGGTCCTCTCCGGGCATGGGGTGGACACGGAGCTGTAGGGCAGACAGTGCAACACCCATCAGGACTCTGAGGGGATCTGGCCTCAACGCCTGCTGGGAGGGTGGTGTTAGAGCCAGACCTCTCCCCGGCACTGGGAGCACCCGGCAAAAACAAGCTAGGGTTTGGGGCATCCCAGGTGCCCGTTTCAAAGCCTAGCATGAGGGAGAGGCCGAGCTCCAGACCGGCCTTGGCATCATCAGCACAGAGGGAGTCTGAGCTACGAGGCTGGTGGAGCAGGGGAGCGGGTGAGGACGTGGGGGTATCCAGGGACCACGTCTCAGAAAAGGAACCTGCAGTGTGGCCAGAGAAAGAGCTGGGGGGGGCAGAAACGGGGGGCTGCAGATGTGCCCCCCAGCTGCCCTGCTCCAGGGACCAAGCCCCAGTGTAGCAGGCACATGGCCCCAGGGATGTGGCTCCTGCTTTCCTGCCGCTGGTGACGTGTGAGGCTTCTGGCTGTGCTGTGGAAGGACAGTTGGCTGCCCTTGGCTTCCTGTGTCCCTTCCCACTGGCTGGGAAATGGAGACGGCCAAATGGCCTCAGCTCAGGGCTGGGAGGCCTACGGAGGTGCAGGTCACACCACCAGCGTGGGCCCGGGGTCTGCACTTCCTGGCTGTCCTGGGTGAGAGGGGCCTCCCATCTGGTTTGAGCCCTGTTTCCAGGCCTCTGTCACAGCAGCTCAGCAAACCCTCGCTAACATGGACACAGCAAGGAGTCGCATCAAATACGTGAGGCTGGGCAAGCTGAGGACCAAGATCTGACCACTAGCTCTGTGATGAGGTCACGGTGGCCTCCTGTTCAGAGTGTGTGTGGAGGTGGGGTTGCCTGGTGACTGGGGACTGAGGAGCCCAGCATGCCCCTGAGGATGGAAGGAAGGAAAGGGGTCCCTTGGAGGGCTCTTGTGGAAGGAGCATGTGCAGCATGGCAGCAGGACCCTGCGGGAGGCTTCGTTGCTTAATCTGGAAGCAGGGGCATCAGCTGGGGGTCAGGATGGGCAGAGGTGCTGACAGCTGTGGAGGGGAGAGGTGAGAATGGCTGTCTGATGGGGCAGACTGCTGGGCGTGCATGGGTGAGGTGAGAGGGGTCAGGGTTGGAGTCCCTGCTCCCACACTGTCTTGGAAAAGCTGCTTGTTCCCCAGAGCAGTGATATGGGCAGTCACAGGACCACCGGGTCCAGGGATCTGTTGTGAGGTGTGACCCAGGCTCCGGTCAGTAAGGCTGAGTGCAGGGCCTGGCATCTATGTGGGGCTGCAGCAGAGGCTCATGATACCCTCAGGGTCTGCACGTCCCTGGATTTTTCAGCCAAGTGCAACTAAACAAAACCTGCCTTTTTCCAAGGAGAGGATTTGGGTTTCCTCCTTGACACAGATGCTGGAACCCTGCTGGCTGAGAGGCCTGGAGGGCCAGCTCTGTGCACACACTCAAGTCCAGCGGGGGAATGACGGGGTGGCCGAAGCGGCTGTGCCCTCAGCATCTGCTACTTACGTACGTGATCCTTGTGAGCCTCTTGGCCAGATGGTAGAAGACGCCGTGGATGTAAAACCAGGCAACGTGTAGCCGCTGGAGACAGGCGAGGCCCTGCTGGAGAACAAAGGCCGCCCGCAGCAGTGCCCTCCTCTGCTGCTCAGGCAGACCGGCAGTGTGTCGACGCACCCAGCGCCGCGCCCCTGAGCAGCCACGCCCACCCGGCACCAGGCTGCCCTGCGAGGGTCGCCCACTGTCAGGGTCAGCCTGCAGCTCTTGCTCCAGAGGGAGCAGGGCTTTGTCCAGCAGGTAGGGCAGGATGGCATGCAGTGTCACCAGCACGCCACGGCGCAGCAAGGAGGGCACCTGCCTCCCCGACGGGTCCACCTGCACGATGCTGACGTACTCCTCCCCGAGGGTCTGGTAGCCTATGAGGAAGAGGACAGGTACGTGGAAGCTGAGAGGGCCTGCCACAGGGATGGGCTCCCAGCCGCCGTGCCCTCTGCTGGCTCCTGTCAACAGCCCCATCTTGTCACCCTTGAGCCCACTGTCACCCCACACTGGTGGAGGCCAACATGACCTCCTCCTGCTAAGCCCATCGGTCTCACTGTGACCTCAGGCAGCATGTGACAGGCCCGGCCACTGGCTGCCCTTGGCTCCTGGGACCTCGGCTGGCCGGTGTTCCTCCCGCTCCTGCTTGTCCCCAGGGGTCTCTGGGACCTTGGCTGGCCGGTGTTCCTCCTGCTCCTGCTGCTTCCCAGGAGTCTCTATGCCTTCCCATTTCTCCCCAGCTGCCCCCACCCCCTCCCCCAGCCCCACTGCTTGGATTTGGTCCCACGGCTGGCCACCACCCACATGGCTGGCATCACCCAACTGATGCCCAGCCTGGACCTGACAGGGCGCTGCACCCTGTGACATGGCTCAGCACTGTGACTTGCTTGTGCCACCAGGGCTGGCCACTGAGAAACGCATCTCAAGGGCACCCGAGGTAAAGTCTTGGACACAAAGGTCCTCAGGGACACAGGAAGGCTGGAAGGATGGGCTCCCTGCTGGGCGCTGATGCCCAGCCTCTCTCGGGCAAGCACCTCCTGCTCTCCTTGAGGTAGCATCACCAACTCGGCTAGTTCCAGGAGCTTCTCACACTTCCTGGCAGCCCCCTGGCCACCATCCCCTGGACTTGGTGTGAGGTTGCCCCTCAGTCCTAAGGTCCCGAGGGGGCTTCTACCTGCAAGTGTGGTGAGGCCAAAGTAGGCCACATCTGAGACCAGCTCAGCCTCCTTCCTCCACTCCAGCCACTTCCTCGCACCTGAGAGGAGAAACAGTGTTAGTCTGGGGGCGCTGGCGGGCATCCCCTGAGGATGAGGGACCACCATCCCCCCAGCTGCCCAGGCCCAGATCCAGTCCCACCCTTCCATGAAGCCAACATTCTCTTCCCCGGCCTCCCTCTCTGCTTCTGTCTCTGGAGGCTCCACCTCGACCTTCCTTAGCCTGAGCTGCAGTATCCTGAGAACCTCCTGCCTGCACCCATCTATTGCTCTGGGAGGGCCGATGAGGGCCGCATGGAAAGACGGTCTTGGGTAGTAAGAGTGCAGGCCAGAGGCCGACTGTCCAGCATCAAAGAGCAACTCTCCAACTTCCTGGCTGTGAGGCCTTTCTGGGATTTCAGTTTGCTCATCTATCAGAAGAGTAATAGTAGGTCCTACCTGTAGTGATGTTTGAAGATTAAATAAGTGAATATTTGTAACACATGGAGAACAGTGTGTAGCACAGGGGTGCCGAGTGTATTGTAAAATAAATTCACACAAATCTGACCATGTCACTCTCCTGTTCAGAATCCGCCAATGGCTACCCATCTGACACCCATGGCCCTCCCCAAAGGGAGCCTGGCTGTCCTCTGAGATTTACGCATGCTCCTGTCCCACGGCACCGTTCCTGCTGCCACGATACCCCTGCCACTGGGCTCCAGTACCACTGCTCCGTGTAACGTTCTGCTGGGAGTTGATGCCTTTTACAACTGCCTGCCCCACACCCAAAGACTTGATGGCGTTGCCTTTTTAAATTTTTATTCTTTTTGAGATGGAATCTCACTTTGTCACCCAGGCTGGAGTGCAGTGGTGTGATCTCAGCTCGCTGCAACCTCTGCCTCCTGGTTTCAAGTGATTCTGCCTCAGCCTCCCGAGTAGCTGGGATTACAGGGACCCGCCACCACACCCAGCTAATTTTTTTTCTTTTTTGAGACGGAGTTTCACTCTTGTTACCCAGACTGGAGTGCAATGGCCTGATCTCAGTGCACCGCAACCTCCGTCTCCTGGGTTCAAGCAATTCTCCTGCCTCAGCCTCCCGAGTAGATGGGACTACAGGCATGTGCCATCATGCCCAGCTAATTTTTGTATTTTTAGTAGAGACGGGGTTTCACCATGTTGACCAGGATGGTCTCGATCTCTTGACCTCGTGATCCACCCATCTCTGCCTCCCAAAGTGCTGGGATTATAGGCGTGAGCCACCGCGCCCAGCCTTTTTTTTTCTTTTTTAAGAGATGGGGTCTCGATACGTTGCCCAGGCTGGAGTGCAGTGGCTATTCACAGGCGCGATCCCACTACTGATCAGCAGGGGAGTTTTGACCTTCTCCCTTTCCGACCTGGGCCGGTTTACCCCTCCTTAGGCAACTTGGTGGTCCCCCGCTCCTGGGAGGTCACCATATTGATGCCGAACTTAGTGCGGACACCCGATCGGCATAGCGCACTGCAGCCCAGAACTCCTGGGCTCAAGCGATCCTCCCACCTCAGCCTCCCGAGTAGCTGGGAGTAAAGGCACGCACCACCGCTCCCAGCACCCAGCTAATTTTTTAGTAGAGAACGGGTTTCACCATGTTGGCTAGGCTGGTTTTAAACTCCTGACTTCAAGTGATCTGCCTGCCTCGGCCTCCCAAAGTGCTGGGATTACAGGCGGGAGCCACCGTGCCCGTTTTTGTTTTTCGTTTTTAAATTAGTGATGGAGTCTGGCCCTGTCGCCCAGGCTGGAGTGTAGTAGCGCAATCATGGCTCACTACGGCCTCATCCCTCGAGCTCAGATGATTCTCCTGCCTCAGACTCCTTTAGAGCTGGGATTACAGGCACTGCCAACACGCCTAGCTAATTTTAGATTTTTTTTGTAGAGACGGGGTCTTGCCATGTTGCGCAGGCTGGTCTCAAGCGATCCTCCCGCCTCCGCCTCCCAAAGTGCTGGAATGACAGGTAATGCTTCGTTGGATTCTGTACTCAGCTCATGGCCTGGTGAGACAGGCAGGGCCTGGCTGAGCCTACCCCGGGGTCGGCAGGGCGAGGGGCCTGGGCTGCCGGTCAGACCAAGGAAGGCCCGGGTCAGTGCCAACGGGACCGAGGTGGGAGGCGTTCGCGCCGCGGTGACCACCCACTGCGGACACCCCGCCTCCTTGAGGGGCAACGCCCCCTGGGCCGCTCGCGGGGACGTCCGGCCGCGCCCGGCCCTCACCCGCCAGGCTGTGCAGAGCACTACCCGCCGCACTCCGCAACCCGCCGCGGTAGTACTCGTCCTTCTGCGCCGCGCGGATGACCTCCGGGGGGCTGGCGGCGGCCGGGGCCATGGCCGCGGGTTCGGGTGGTCCCGGGAAGCCACGCTAGCCACGCCCACGCGGCGAGGCCTGATGACGGCACGACGTGGTTCGGCGTGCGGCGCAGGCCTTGCGTCACGCTGGGGGCGGGGAAGGCCGGGGCAGGAGGCGGGGCCGGGCCCCAGGCGGAAGCGGGGCTGGAGCCAGAACCAGCGCGGCGCGAAGGGAGTTAAGGGCGCGGTGCGGCGCGGGGCGGGGCGGGGCTGCGGGAAGGGAGTGGGAGGCACGGGGCGGGGCCGGGACGGGAAGTCTGGGGGCCGGGGCGGGATTCTGGGGCGCGGGGCGGAGCGGGGCGGGAGTCGGGGGCGGCGGGGTGGGCTCAGGGCGGTGCGTCTGCGGCGCCCCCAGGTTCATACGCTGCCACCGGCCCCCGCTTTGCTCCCCGCACGTCCACGGGCCGCTCTCCCTCTGCGGACAGCGCCGCGGAGTGGAGACGGTGCGGACCCATTTCCCGCTGGGGAGGCGGAGGCCGGCGCCTGGCTCTGGACCGGCCCCGGGGAGCCATCTCGCCCTCTGAGCTGCGCGGGCTGGCCGGTTCCGGGGCGCCGGTGGGTTTGGGGGCCAGAGGGGCACGAGGCGAGATCCGGGACCTTCCAGGCCTCGAGCAGCCGCCTTCCCCAGTCATCCCTCGTAAAAGCACACGGCCGGGTTGGTGTGGACGCCCCCCTGGTGCCCAGGCAGGGCAGAGGTCCCGGGAGGGAGGGCGCCGCGTGCGTCAGGCAGGGCCTGGCGGGTGGGTGCAGCCGAGAGGCCGCCGCGTGGTTTCAGGACAGGCGGAAGGTGGTCCTCTACACTCTACCCTGTCTGGCCTGAGCCCCGCAGGTGCTCTGGGGACCCACATCGCCAGCGGCGCTTCGATCCCTCTGCTCACGGGGGAGGAGCAGAGGGAGGCCTGAGGCACTTACCAAAGCCGCACACCTGGAGGGACAGAGCCTTCCCCAGCCGCTGGCCACAGCTGGACCTGTCCGGAGCTGGGGATGGGAGGGACTGGGGCGGGAACTGGAGGCCCACGCAGGTCCCCCGCGTTCTCTGCGGCCTGTGCCTCTGGGGCCACCTGGCCAGGGAGGGCAGCCTGCACAGCCCTGAGTGGCCCTGCTGCCCAGGGCAGCACTTGGGCTGGGGAGGCCTTTAGGATTGCAGGAGGAAGGCGGGACGCTGACAAGGGGGCATCTGCACCCTGATGACCTCAATGGGGGGGGGCATGCGATTCCTTGCCTCACCTCTTGTTCCGTCTGCAGGGACTCAGCTGTGGCATCATCCCCAGACTGACACAGCTAAGTGACAAAGCCAGAGCCCCACCCTACAGGAATGGCCCCTTTTAGAGGAAAGGGGCATAACCTGGTGGCCCCGCAGCCCCTCTGGCTACTGAAACCCCCTTGCACCCCTTTGGAGACCTGACCCCGCAGGTATGGCCATGTGTCCTGGACACAGAGACTGCCCTCTGATTGGGCTGGGCAGCTTGGACGGGCCCCTCATCCATGGGCCAGGCAGTAGGCGTCGCCCATGAGGAGCTGCTGAGGTGGTCGTGTGTTCTGGTCAACGCTTAGATAACAGTTTGAGGTGCAGCACCCCTTCCTGGCCCTGAGCCACTCTGGGCCCTGGGGTCACAGCTCAAAGTCTGATTCTGAGGAGGAGGCTTTGGTACCTCCTTCGGATTCACGCTAAGCTCTAGGATGGGCCCCTGGGAGGTGTCCCCACCACTGTCCTGGCACAGGACTGCATCCGCCACTCTTCATCTGCACACAAATCCCAGCCTCCAGCGGGAGGGGCCTGGGCAAGACCAGAAGCCGAGTGTCTCAGTGTCTGTTGCTCCTGGGGAGGTGGGGCTACGGAGTCCCCCAGGGTTCAAGCCTTGGCTCTAGGCCTTGGCTGGGCCATGCCATGGTGCCTCTGACCCTCAGTTTCCTCACTGGGTGATTGAAGCCCTCTGGCGCCCTGAGGGTCCTTCCTGAGGACGATTTGAATTTGGGGGGGTCTTATCCTGGGATGGCCAGCAGGTGGCAGTGTTGGCCCGTGTGCTCTCCACCCAGCTCCCCACTAGAATGATAGGGGATTAGGCAGTGAGTTTGGCCCCAAAGTCAACTGAACCTAGATCAGAACCACCAGCGAAGTGGAGTGACCATCTGCCCGAAACGGCAGAGGGAAGGAATTGCCTGCTGGGGGCGGTTTCCAGGGAGGTGGGGCAGGAGTCAGGCCTTCCTGTCCTGCAGCAACCTGGGAGCTCTGGCTGGTTCCAGGGTTCTGGGGCAGGGTATAAGGGGTCCTGCCAGGGGAGGGGGTGTTTGCCGCTTGGCACCCTTGCCTCCATGTGGCTGCCTTCTCTTCAGCCCGTGGGTCTTGCCACAGACCCTGTCCCCCTCTGCTTCGGGGATTGAGGGCAGGAAGACGGAGGCTATGGATTTCAGGCATCGGGCGTTGCTGGCTGACGGTCCAGCCTGAGTCTTGGGTCTCTTGACAGCCATGTGCTGGGCCCCAGCAAGGGGTCGCCACAGTCTTTAAAGCGAGCGTTATTGCTGTTGGCGGTGCTTTATATCCTTCTAGAGGAGACTGTTCTGTAATTGAGGAACCCTGATCTGCCTGGCCAGCTCTCGCCATTTAGCCTAGATCCTGCCGTCTTCGAAGCCAGGCTTCTGGGGACATGGCACAGGAGTGCTTCTGGGCTGGCCTCCGACTGCAGCCTGTAGTGCCCTCTGCTGGCCCTGCCATTTCAGGGGGCTCTCACACCTATCCATCTGACTCCCCTGCGCTTCTGTCTTCTGGCCTGTGGAATGGGAATGGGGAAGAATCAGCTGGTATTCATTAAGAGCCTGCTTTGCTCTCGCCTGGGACACACATGGCCTGGGATCTGGTCACAGTGCAGGTCTGGGTGGACGGGCCTGGACCGAGGTCCATTTCTGCATTCCCAACAAGTACCCAGACCACACCTGCACGGAGCACGACTCTCGGCTTTGCCCTTCACACTTGCCCCCTTCTGCCCAGCAGCGGCCGGTGTGGCGTCCCATCCCACATCCTTCCTTTGCAGGGCCTGCGTTGCGGCTCCTCTGAACCCAGTTCCTCTGCTCTGGGGAGCTCAGCATCAGTCCCACCCTTCGGATCCCCATTCCACCCCCAAACACCCAGTACAGTGAGCAGCCCTGCGGGTGATCTGGCACGGCATCGGGTGCTGCTCCCTGTTCTCTCTGTGGTAGGGTTGGGGTTAGAACGGGGCTGCTGTGCCTGTCATGCCTGGGATGCTGCCTGGCAGCCAGCAGCTGCTCAGGACGTCAGGGAGGGCAGGGTGGCCCAAGAACTGGATGCAGCAGGTCTGGGTCCCTGGCTGGGCAGGTGCCTGGAGTGTAGAGCTTAGGATGCTGCTCAGGACGCCCATCCCAGGACCTCGAGGAGGGCAGGGTGGGCCCAGGAGGTGGATGAAACATGTCTGGGTCCCTGGCTGGGCAGGTGCCTGGAGTGTAGAGCTTAGGATGCTGCTCAGGACACCCATCCCAGGACCTCGAGGAGGGCAGGGTGGGCCCAGGAGGTGGATGAAGCATGTCTGGGTCCTTGGCTGGGAAGGTGCCTGGAACACGGCAGCGGTGGGTGCTGGTGCCACTTGAAGGGAGTGGCTCCTGCCCAGGGTGGCAGTTCCGGCTTCAGGGATGTGGCTGTGTCCCTTCCCTTCTCTTTAGCTTTAAAGGGATTTTGAGATTGAGGAGCAGCCTCCCCCAAGCTGGCCCCAGGTACAGGGACAGGACCGTTAGGGTGCGGCCCTCAGGAAGCCCCTCGCCGCGCCAGCCACAAACCAGGAGAACGGGTTCCTCCACTTGGCTGGAGGCCCTGGGAGCCATACTCCACTGGCTGTGGCAGACCCGGGCCCTGGAGCTACCTGCAGAATGTGAGCTGGGGGAGGGTGGGCGACGGGCGGCACTAGGCCCAAGGAAGGGAAGTGAGCCCTGGGCGAGCACAGTCAGGCAGAGGCCCCAGAACCAAACTGGGGAGGGCAGGGCCCAGCGGGCAGAGGCAGGAAGTGCTGGTGGATGAAGGCCTCCTGGAGCCTCAGTGGGAACAGTGCCCGGGCCGGGGTGTAGCAGGTGAGATCAGGATGAGGGCCCAGAGTGCTGAGGGTTGGTCTGGGTGTGGGCTGGCCTGGAAAGTGACGTTGGCACTTCTGGGGCTTGGGCAGGTGGCCGGGGGCTCTGCCTGTGTCCCTTGCTGGCTTGGGGCCATCAGGCAAGAATTCAGGACTGTGGGTCCGACAAAGCAGAGCAATCCTAGGGCTTGGAGGCTCTGGGCTGATCTCAGGACTTTGAGGGACAGGAAATGAGAAAGAGGGGTCGGAGGGCTATGGAGAGAGGGTCATGGGCCTGAGCTGAGAAACCAAAGCCCAGCAGGCCATGCCTGGTCCAAGTCAGGCACAGGGTGAATCCCAGGTCATTCTGCCCACTTGTGTCTCAGTCTCTACCTGCTGTTGGGCTTGGGCAGGGGTGCTGTGCACCGTGACCTTGCTGATGGGAAATGAGGGGTCCTGCTGTGCAGCTGTCATCCTGGGCTGAACCAGCTGATAACTGAGGGCTGGAAACCAAGGGCCCCCAAAAGAAGAGCTCTAGGAGGACTTCCTGGAGGAAGAGACTGCATGGTAAGCGTGAGGGAGGGCTCTGTCCATGTGAGAGGCATGGCCTTTTCTGACATGTGGAGGCTGGGGGTGTTGTGTCAGGGGGTGCTAAGGATGGGCCCTGCCCAGCCTCCCAGCTTTCTCTGTGAGGCCAAAGGGAGGGGGACTGGTAAGTCTGGGACCTGGTGCCCAGAAGTGTGAGCCTAGGACCTGTGGGCACTAGGCAAGGCCAGAGAGGGCCCATGAGGGAGGCCTGAGCTGGAGTGCCATCCACTCTGGATGTGAACATCTGGGTGGGCTGTGGAGAGCCCAGTCCTGTCCTGGGAGTGCTGCATAGCCGGGCTGTGCTGAGGGCTGGCCACTGAGGGGCTCTGTACTGGAGGGCACCCTGGAGCCACCTCCCACGGCACAGCAGCGCTGTCTCTCCACGCAGCCTCCCCAAAGTGGGGTTGGGGCCTGGAGCTGGGCAGCCCTGGGAGGAGAGGATGGG